GTGGCCTTCTACGACCAGGTCACCAAATCCTTAGATGCAGGGGTAGCAGTGAACATAGTCTTCCTGGACTTTTGGAGTTGGGGTACAGGCCCTTTAAGAGCTCCTTTATATATTTTATTGATATAATATAGTATGCTTTGTGTAAGTAACACAGACTGTTTAATTCACTCAGTAAGGGTTTTTGTCATATTTAAAAGGTGTGATGATAAGTTAACAAAAAATGAATGCATTGTTTTCCTCAGTGGAGGGCAGCAAGCTAAAGAGTCCACTAAGAAGAAGGAGTGTGAAGAAGAGGAGACAGAAAATAAACTGCCAACGTTACATGAAACTAAAGGTAACTTACCAACATTTTGATGTCGGGCACTAAAATGTAAAGGCAGATTAGTTATTCGTTTTACCTCTCTATTTATGAACCAAATTCACCATTGTCACAAGAAGACCCAATGTCATTAATCCCAAATAAGTTTTTCCCACTTTCCTAGTTTTTTTCCTACTTTTGTCAACCCGTTTGGGGAGTTTTTGACATTTTCTTTTGCCTCTGTGATCACTGAAGGTCAAGCCTAAAACTTCGTCATAGTTGCACAAAATCTGCTTTGAACTGAATCTTGGTATACAAGATCACTCTTTAAATGTGTTTTTCTCAACTGACTTTGAGACTAGCTAAGCTGTAAGGGTGGAAAAGTTTGTTTATTCCATCAAAAATCTATATTAAAAGAATGTGAAAAATACAGTTAAGAATCAGGGCTTACCAAAGGTAAGGTTGTCCACTTGGCCTTAATTCTGCCTGTTCCATAGGTTGCAATTTTGCAAAGGGGGTGAGAGGAAGGAATGAGTCCCTAATTCACAGTAGCTTTCATTAGGAATTAGGCTCTGTACCCATTTTATATTTTGTCGAAGAGCATAGTCATAATCCTTACTTGAATAGTTTAAGTAATGCCATTGCAGGGCTCCTGACTCATTCACTGACGAAACTAGACAGGGCACAGTTAATGAGCGAGATGTACCTTATTGATTTTTATCTTTGTCATTCAGTGAGTATACACCAAACAACACATCGTTCCTTTGGACATCTGCCCTGACCATTACACATCCCCTTTAGCAGATCCAAGTCAATCTTGTATCACCTTTACACTGGTACAGTTACATTTGCTTTATGGAAGTTTATGGAATGCACCCTGACAAGCCATAGACACCTCACATGCGCTGTATTGGTTGGTCTTGTTCTCATGCTCAGTCAAGCTGATCACTGGATGAGAGGTCAGGGAGCAATTTTATCCAGGTCAGATTGAGAAGAACCATTGCGGGTTTTTTGACTTCCTTTGGAGGAAGGGTGCTGGTTGACTCCTTCAGATCAGGAGGGTGTATTTTTTTACCTAAAATTTTGTCCACTGCAGAATCAGTGGTATTGGTGATGTTCGCATCTTGTCTCTTTTCCCATGGTGTGCTGCAGGTTCAGTTTTGTTTGTCTCTTAAGTAGGGTGCTTTGTGGTTGTGGTGGGAGAAGTGCCGCAGTGGATGTTGTTGTGGATCCCTTTGAACAAATACTTATTTCATGATTGCTAGCAAATGCAAGGGGTTGGACTCAGAAGCCAGGGAAGTAAGGCTGGTGATTATTTGTTATGAAGATTTTCTGGGAAGGGGTAGGTTTTAGATTGTTAAACCTCACTCTAGTCCAAGGGCCCTGGCTCTCACCGGGGGGATTCAGGGTTATGAATAGGGATCGTGGTTTTCTCTGATTTAAAAAAATCCCCACTTTTCAGATATAAAAATTAACCCCAAATCCACATTTTCCATGATTAAAATGAAACACCACTAATATATCAGTTAGTGGAGACAAATAGTGTATCTCTGTATTAGTGGCATTTCATTTTAATCATGGAAAAATGTGAATTTGGGGTTACTTTATCCAAAAATTGGGGATTTTCTTAGAAAACCGAGACCCCTGGTTATGAATCTCTTCTGGAGATAAGTGACCTCTTTCTACATCAGCAGTTAGACCTAGGCACAAAAGTCCTTAAGAGGGACTGAGTATAAGACTCCTCTCCTTAGCCCGTCCTCTTGGCTAGCATAGACAGCTCCTTGCTTATCCTCTAGGCCAGGGGTAGGCAAGGCTTTTTGACCAGAGTGCCAGAAAAACCACACTGTCTACATTGGAAGGTACTGGAGTACCGACATGCCAAAGCCCAGAGCAGCTGTTTGCAGCCTCCTGGCTGCAGCCAGCCCATGGAGCCCGGTCTGCTTGCAGCAGGGCTTGCAGCCTCCCAGCTGCCTGCTGGGAGCAGCCTGGGCTCTGTGGCTGGCAGCAGCTGCCTAGAGCCCAGGCTGGCGGTGGTGTGCCGAGCAAAATGGCCTTGCATGACATGCTCGGCACTTGTGCTGGGGGCTGCTGACCCCTGCCTTTGCAGATCACATTCATAATCACCTGACTCTGTCCATGCATCGTGCATAGAACAGGGTACCTACCTTTGGGCTCTGGATGTCACTGGGCAGCAGAGTACATAAAGGTTAGGCATTGCAGTGTTCTCTATTGTAACATCTAAGTCTTTCTGCGGATCATGCCCTGAGTGCAGTTATTCGTGGTTGGCCACTGTTGCTTTTTGTGCTGATCATGTTCCTGTTTCTGCATGTCAGTAAACATCTGAAGAGGCTTATCCTGAGGAAATGGAGATTAATCCAGTTTTTTGAGATGTGACATGTTCTTCTTCTGTATGTATTTCCTACCTTGCTGTATATTCTGAGAAATTGAGGAAAGTTACCAAATGTCCTGAGATCAAACAGCTCCAGCTGGAATTCAACACACTGAGCAAATGGACATGTGGCTTTATAAAGTCATCCCAGCTGAGGCTCTAGACTGATCACCATTCCTAGTCTGTGCTGCCTGCTGACCCAACAGAGGCTGTGTGCAATGGCTGCCTATGCCTAATTTTCCCCTGCAGTCTCTTGTGGGCTGCTAACTATTGGTCGTTGCCATGGTTTTCCTGCATATTATTTATGCTACTTTCCTGCATGCTATTTATGCTACTTTATGCTTGTTTTGCAGTAGTCCCTTGCCTGGTTATCTACCATTGTATGATCGTGGGATATTTTACATAATTACCCAATGCTGCATTTGTTCTAAATTTTAGGGAAGATTAAATATTATTACTTATTTTGTATTATGGGAGCTCCTACAGATGCCAGATGATGTCAGTGGCCCTATTATACTAGGCTTTGTACAGAAAGAGGCAGATCCTGACCTGAGAGTTTGCAATCTAAATACCCAAGATAGGCTAGGTATGAAGACCTGGAGTGAGGTGTGCATCAGAAAGTGCCTCCTGTATTATGGGCAGTGGCAGGCAAGATGGTGTTGGGAGTGTATGGTAGGGAAGATTAAGAGCTCTGTTTTAGCCATGTTGAACTTGAACTGACAGTGAGTCCCCCAGAAAGGACATTAGAAAGAGAGGCTGGGAGTTTTAGTTTAGTTTAGATTGACAGAGGCAGCTTTGGAGAAGAAAAAGATATGGAGGCTATCCACATAGAGATTAATTGATTGTTTGTTTACAAGTGAACTTACAAGAGAGAAGGTGAAATGAAGCAAGGACTAACCCCTGGAGAATCAGGATGTGAAAGGTTAAATGATTAATCATTTAACTGATAAGATAACCAATTAGTTTACCAGTTATCCTTTAGCTCAGGACGGGCACAGTCTGGTGGGAGTGGGGAAATGGGGGCAAGGAGGGGACAAAAGACATGTGGTGACCCAGCAGGAATCAGAAGGCAGCAGGGCAGGCAGGAAGAGTGAGAATGAGGGAAGGGGGAGGGCAAGGGGGACTAGTGTCCATTGCCGCAGCGTGGCACCGGGTGATCCAGCTCCATTTCTCAGCAATTCATGCTGCCCGAGCGTGCGCTGATCTGTTTTGTTTTCTGTGGGGTTTTTTGATCTCTGGATATCCAGGGTCAAAGAAACCCGCAGAAGAAAAAAATGGAGCCGTGCATGTTTGGGCAGCATGCTCTTGCAGCGTGGAGAACACCAGATTGGGCGGTATGTGGCACTGCAAACACGTTTGCAGAGCCACATACTGGATAACTGCTCTCGTCTGGATGCACCCTTGTGCTTTGAGGCATGGTTAATGGGAAAAAAGGAAAATGGGCATTAAAAAAACCCAGGGAGAAATACTTTTCCAGACGAAAAGGAGCTGGGATTTTGCATTGTTTTTCTGCACAGATCTTTGAAAATAGCTGAAGATGTTTTTCTAATTATAAAATTTAAATGTTGTGAGTGTCCTGGAAAGAGAGGGCCTGATTCACCACTGAATTTTTGTGCCATTGCAATTCTGGATTTAGTAAGGTTGAACTTCAGCTACACATCTGAAAGTAGTTTGAACCTGGTCTCAACACAAGTTGTACCACGTGACAGTATTGGATATGGGAGAATTTTTTTTACCTAGTACTTACACCAGTGCAACCTCTGAATGGATGAACATTTTTTTGTGATTATTCTTCTTCCCATACAGGAATAATTGTATTGGTATAGAGCCAGTATAGTTGTGTCCATACTATGGGAGTTGTATCCCTTTAACTGCAGCAGTATAGATAAAGCTGTATAGTTTCTGGGTGGTGTAGGGGTATGTGTGCAAGCCTGTGGAAAATAATGAATATGTTTCATTGTGATTTATTTAGCCATTTGTTGTGGGATTTAATGCTTATTCCACCTTTTACAGATAGAGAAGAACCCAGCAACCAGAAGCCTTTTCCTCAGCCAGTCATTTTGTCTTCCAAATTGCAAATCCCATGCCTACCTTTGCGCTGGGAACAGCAGAGCAAGCTTCTTCCAAGTGTGGTGGGAATCCCAGCCAGTCAAGTATCTAAGTGGAGTACTGATGAGGTAGGTTTACTTCAGAAGGGCTTCCTTTGTGGAATTAGTCTTTGTAGCCCCAGCACTCAGAACATATTATTTGATTACATATATTCACTGTAGAACTGATAGAGCCCCAGATTTGCTCCATGACAAGTAAATGACACAGTAATTCTGAAGATAATTTGTACACAAAGGGTGACATTTGGTTCTTCCTTGGCTGTCCGAGGGGCTGGTTTTTGGTTGTCTAATGTTGCATTTTTGGTACAGGTAGGAATTACATTCCTGGATTCCTGCATGGGTGGATAATTATAGTAATTTAGGTATGTGTGCAGACTGGGCATGTGCATAAGGAGCCAGGGTACTCCCTCTTCCCCTCCACCTTTATAGTTGTGTAGTGGCCTTAGGTACCTGAAAATGTTGTCAAAACCCATGACACACACTCCGGAGAGGAAAAAGGCCCCCTTCTTCTTTTTCCTTCAATAACTGAGTGGCTTAAGTACTTACTTGTGAAGCTAGAGACTCTGGGTTCTAGGCCCCGCTGTGCCTAGACTGAGTTTGATACTCGGTTTTTCTGACTTCCCACCACAGCACTCAGGTCACTACACACAACTATTAGCCATTATCCAGGCCCTTTTCTGGCACTCCTTTTGGAATTGGTTCCCCCACCCAGCCCTGAGAGGGAGACACTTGTGAGATACAGGGGGCCAGGAGGAAGAGTATAAACTGAAGGCTGAGTGGCTGCTGGCCTGGCAGGAAAGGGCTCTGGATTCTAGTTTGGGCTCTTTCTCCCAGTGAGGCAATAGCTTTGTGGCACTCTCCATACAGGGTGCTAGTGAAGAGACTGACTAATATTTAACTTGTGGCATAGTGAGAGTGTTATGTTAGGAGGTCACCAAGACCCTCTGACTTCCCTCGCAACTTCCCTAGCCGCTAAGTTCTAAAGAGGAGGAGATGGGAGCTGGCATCTTCCTTCTCCCATTTTGTTACTAGTGCACATGCCCATTCTGTCAGTGTAGAGTCCAGAAACAGATTTTCTGTCTGCATGGAAGTGTCAAAAATGTGATGTAGATGACCAAAACTAGCCATGTAGATAACCAGGAAAAAGCAGAAAGTTACCCAAAGAGTTAGGTTCCCAAGAGGAAAGTGGGTGCTTAAGTAAGTCCAGAGTTCAAGACTGACAGAATCCTTGCTCAACTGGTACCTGTCCCTATGCATCTAATGCACCTAGCTGTCTACCTTTCTCCCACTGGGCACATGCAGAACTGCCCAAACTGAGCTGCTTAACAGCTTCCTCAAAAGGTTGAACCCCCACAGATTCACAAATTAGTCATTCTCCTGCCAGCTTTGCCACAGGAATCATCTCATGGGTGTGCCCGACCCCACAAAAAGTGTAGTTGGTGGGAGAGGAAAAGGGGAGGTCTGCCCAAGACAGACCTTGATTTGGTGCAAGGACTTGTCCGAGGTCTCCCACATCCAGGATATTACCCTGATTTTCAGGATGTTGGGTATTGTGAGGTGAGCCTCTGTCTGTTTCTCCTGTAAAGCTTTTCTACTTTGCATCCAATTCCAAGGTCTGCCCCAGGCCTAGAGAGCTCATCAACTTAGTGTGGTTAAGGCACCACACTACTTAGTGTGGTTATTTCTACCAGCCCACAAGGAAATAATGTGGCCAGCTTCCTTTTGTTCTCTGGCCTAATGACTAGGGATAGTGACTACCAGCTGGTTGGACTTGGGGAAGCATTCAGATAACTTATACAAAATAAATAAAGTGGGATGGTTTTAATGGGAGAGTTTGAGAGAGACATGCTCCAGACTGCCCTACAGCTCAACAGGGCATCAATATTGTGGGAGGCTGAAGACCTCAAATGTCTGTTCTCCATAGTCAGAGTAGAAATCTGAACCCAGGTCTTCCAGTTTCCAATGACTACTCTGACCATTGAGACTGTAGGGAAAAGGTATGTATGTAGAAAGGCAGAAAGGGGAACTATACACTCTTCTTCCTTTTTTGCCAGAAATAAATGATCTAGTTTAGTTTGATAACCCTAGGAAAGGTTTAATGGCTGTGAATTTCATGTGTAGATAGACACCTGGATTAAGTCACCCCTGTCCTTAGCATCTTCTGTTGACTGGGTTAGTTAGTCAGCTTTTATTGGGGGGAGTTGTCTCCATTCATAGCAGCTGATAAAATAAGTTGTTGCCTACAAAAACTCATACCTCTCTGAGCCAATTAGTCTTTCAAGTACCACACTGACCTGCCTTGTGACTGCAGACTGACGCAGCTAATCACTACTATGCTACAGGATGCTTAAAAGATAGACTCTGCAACACTGAGGCCAAGTCCCTCAGCAATTCTAGTTTAAAGAATATCTGACTGATGAGAAATGTTTTGCTTCACCATGTGTCAGCAGTTTAAAGCAAAACTTTTGGGAAATTATGTAGGTTTTTTTCCCCACTCCCACCCCCAAACCTTTTGTTATGATTTGGTGGCAGGTCTCTGAATTCATACGAAGTTTACCAGGATGTGAAGAGCATGGCAAGGTGTTTAAGGATGAGGTGAGTCTGATATAGCTTTTGTTTCGCAAAGTGTAACAGAAATGATTGCTTGCCTGCATTCCAAACTGACAGCATGTTACTTATCTACAGCCATAGGATTAAATGCTAAAACCCATCCTCAGACATGACTGCCACCAAGATCAGCTGGCCCTTTGCCTCATGGTAGACTTGAGAACCTTGGGTAAAAAAAATCAAAATGATTGGAAAGTCTAAGGCCCATTTTCAAAAGTCACACATATGTCCACCACTTAAAGCCAGATCCAGATCACTTTGTTTGGTACCAGAACAGGCCTTAGGTAGAATTTGAGCACCTAAATTAAAGGTCTCACGCATTGCTTTTTCTTTCATTGCTCTCAACATCTGCGGTGCCTACATTCATTAGGCACTGCTGTTTTGGCCTGAAAAGGTCTCAGTGCCTAGGCTTAGGCTCCTGCACGTGCTCAGGAATGATCCGATTCATGCAGCTATACACATAACTGCTATCTAAGCTCCAGTACAATCTAAATTGATCTGGAGAGGTGGCTAAATCCCCCAAGAATCCCAGTCCAGTTGGTACCCAGAGGGCATGCCCAGTTCAGACCAGCTGCATGGAGTGACAGTACAGGTACAAAATCCATAGACTCTCTTACTTGGAAACACAGCCAGCGATAGTGGTGATTTTCCACATAATAGCCTACTACTTAGAGCATTTGTCCAGGAACTGGGAGAGACCTGGGTTCTAAGCCCTTCCTCCTCAACCTCAGGGAATTCAACTCTCCATCTTTCACCTGCTAGGAGAGTGCCTTACTCATCAAGTTAGAGCAGAGTCCACCGTCTACACCATCATTGGGAGGTGAAATATGAGCCATGCTGGGAGGAGGACTAGCAAGACGGAGCCTGATTCTGTAGCCCAGTGATGTGAACATTCCCACTGGGGAGGGACAGGGAATGCAGAGTCCTGGTGCCAGGGTTATTTCTGCTTTTTTTATTTAAAGACTGTCTAATGTCTTCCAGAAGCTGGGATGATCTAGTTGGGAACGGTCCTGCTTTGAGCAGGGTGTTGGACTAGATGACCTCCTGAGGTGTCCCTTCCAACCCTAATTTTCTATAATCCCCTCCCTGCCTTCCTCACAGAGTTACATTTGCTTTTGCTTGCTTACTCGCATCTGGATATGTATTGTTCAGCAGACCCAGACTTGTACTTGTGGTTTCTGCATAAGTTAGTCCCGCTTAGCCTGTCATCGGGGGATGGCAGAGTTTTAGGTAAGGAAGGTTTCCATAGGGCTCTTGAAATCCTTTTTCTGTAGATTCTTTGTTCCTATTAAACCTATTAAAGTAGGTTGTCAGACTGCAGTCAGATAATTTGATTTTTAAGGGCTAGTTTTGCCAAAGACTTACCACTACAAAACTCAGCATTGCACCAGTTAATATTGAGGTGCCATTTCACCATAGCCCTGATTTAGGTGTCTTAGTTTCCTGTATATAGCCTGTGGAAAGACAAGAACCAGAAAAGACCACAGAGTGAGAGGAGAGGCGCCCAAACTAGCCAATGGGAAATACTGACAAGAGGCATGTGCCTTAATGTGTACTTTCTCTGGGACTTGGGTCTCCCCTGGAGTTAGGTTCCTAAGCCTTTGCTTCAGAAGGTGTTGATCATTTTTTATTTATCAGCTCAGTGGTTAAAAGAAGGGTTATATCAGCAAATGTGAGCATATCTCCACAAGCTAGTAATGGGGTGCTCAGTTGGGCATTCTAGTACTGGTGCAAATTGAGATATTTTGTGTTACTCAGTGAATGAAATCCTAAAATAGTCATTGGAGCAGGGACTGGACCCACATCTCCCTGAGCTGGGCTGAATGTCCTAACCCCTAGGCTGTGGAGTAAGGCTGAGTCTTGTATGGGTTTTTCTTTCCCACTCCTACTAAATGTATGGCCTGTGTACAAGCCTCCTCCTCCCCCCACCGCCATGCATTGTCAGAAGGACTTGAAGTGAGGATATGGACAGCTGTGACATTCATAGCGCTACAAAATGTGAGCTTACAGGAGCACAAACAGTATACGGTGTTATAAACATGTCCCAAGCACTACAGAGACCTTTCTGTTTAAAACAAGAACTCCTCTGTAGTGCTGTGGCACTGCATGTAGCATCTGTTCAGTTATATGTAACACTACAGAGGCTGCTGAGACCCCCAGCATCCCACAGAGCTCCAGGCTCCCTCCCTACCCCCTCCACAGTGGGATGGAAAGAAAGAGTTTGGCTTCCTGATAGCTCATCCAGAAGTGTTGAGCTGTTCAAGAGCTGTAATGAAACCCTGCTGCCTCTGCTGTTGGATATAATTCTAAGTGACTTGAAAAATTACCCATGGCAGTTTGCTGCTGGGGGGAAAAGTCGTGTAGGCCTAAATACAGAGGCCTGGTATGACTAGGCTGGTATTGTAACCTTTCATGTCTGTATTTGTGCTGCCTTCCACAATTAACCTTCAATAGATTTGGCATTTCAGGAAAAAACATGCATGAATTATGTGTACTAAAATAGTGAAGCTATAAAATTTGGAGGAACATGGTTATCTATTATTTAATGCTGTAAAAAGCTTTATCTGTGTTCAAAGCCATTTTACCAAACCTTTTGGCACCTGGAGCCAAGTCTTTTTTAATCCCCTGTGTTAAAACAGAGAAAGTAAGTTTTGATTTTTTTTTTGGTGGTGGTGTTTGAGGTGGAAGGGCAGCATAAGACTTATATTTGGAAGAACATTTAATTCAAGTTTAGTGACTAGGATGAAATCCAGCATCAGAGAACAGACAGTTTTGTAGAACTGATTTAACCCAAAGCAACAGGGACAGATTTGCATACAGAGAAATATAAATTCAAGCTTGTACTTAAGCCTAGTCTGAAATTAATTGGCTTGCTGGGAATTTTATTTTATAGATTGTTAAATACTTAAATTATTAAAGCATCAAGCCTATTAATAGCTTTCCTTGTGTTTCTTTTTAAAGCAAATTGATGGAGAAGCATTTCTGCTAATGACCCAAACAGACATAGTCAAAATAATGAGCATTAAACTGGGACCAGCCCTAAAAATCTTCAATTCCATTCTGATGTTCAAAGCCGCAGAGAAAAATTCACACAATGAACTCTGAAAGTAATGGGAAATGTATACAAGTCAGCTTTCTCCACTGGAGCTTATGTTTTATTCAAAGCACAAAGATTCACTAGAATTGTCAAGTAAGAACTCTTGGAACGGAAGAAAAATAAGCCAGTGCTGGTGGACTATTTAAAATCTTTGAGAGCAACTACACCTGAATCCTTCTGGGAAGTGTTTGAGCCTTTAACAAGGTACTGTATAACAGCCGAGTCAGCTAATCTTATTTACCAAATTAATGACACTATTTCTCTCATGGACTGTTAGATAGGATTCCTACCTTTATTTTGGCATCTGGAAATCCTTCGCTGATTATTTATGCTATAATAAAATGAGGGAAATGGTAACATTTTCTAAGAACTCCTGAATTCTGTATCACATATCCATTTTTCTTTGCAGTAACTTTTACTTTATGCTGTCAAAACAAAACTGGTTAGCTAAAAATGAGGCTACAAGTAGCCAGTTCAGACTGTTGTGGCTAATGTAAGTTTTGTTTCATAGTTTAAGATACAACATTTATGCTACATAAATACCACTTTATGCTACAACATAGAAAACTTTCCAAAATGATGAAATTGTCTACCTGCTTGTAACAATTACATTGTTGAGGTTGAAATTCTAATGCTTTTTGGATAAACTGAATGTTTTTACTTTTGCACGATTATAAAAATGTTACATGGGGGGGTTGGGGGGTGTTCCACCAGCATCTTTAATGTAAGTTACCAAAAGACCAGTATAGAGAAAGCTGCAACTGAGGAATAATGTTTGACTTCACAGAATACCATTAGTCATGCTGCACCATGGTACTCCAGGTTTCTTTTCTTTTTTTTTTTTCTTTTTTTACCCGGGAGCCCACAACTGTTATACAGCACATGGAGTAAAAATGTATGTATGTGTGTGTGTGTGTGTGTGTGTATATATATATATTTGAGGTAAGAATTTAAAACAAAAAGAAAACCTTTTCTATGTCTGTACATTCTGGTCTTCAGTACTTACTGCAATAATGAAAAAGAGGAGTACAAAGGCTCAGACTGCTCCCCAAGGTCCATGCTCAGTGCAAGGTGCTCATTTTCCTACCATTGGGGTATTATTTAGCCCTTCTTCCTACCTGAAGGTCACCCCAAGTTAAGAAATACATTTTAGGGTGCAAAGGAAAAGGAAAGGAGGAAGAAAAGGAAAACTTAAGGAGCAAGGTGCATGACACTTGTTAGTTCAGGCACCAATTCCTACAGTGGGTAATTAAGTAAGACACCCTTCTTTCTTGAAGGATTGTTAGAAGCATTTGATTAAGGGAAGGTGTTGCACTCCGTTTATAAAAAAAAAGGATATAGAACAAGATGCACTTTAAATTAAGAAAGGCCTAGCTACCCACAGACTAAGGATGGATCTAGAATCCTCCTTGTGAGAATGATCCACATGGGAAGAAGGTGGGAACTGGATCAGTTGGCTCATACAATCTCTTATGCCTAGTGTGAAGTAAGGGGGATCGTTTGTCTTTGCAATTCAGAATGAGCAGAACATTCCTACCGCACAGGGTGGTGGGAGGAACAAAATCTTCCTACACTTTGCTAGGGACTCCTAATTGGCTGGAATTTCTTAAGGTTTGGAGAACTCTTTGTGCCACTTTGGGTCACTTAAGTGACTGGCACCTGCCATAATGTGAGGTAAAACAGGGTCAGTGTGAAGTAAGTTGCATTACTCTATTAGTCTCCTTCCATGACATTGCATAAACAATATTTTTTACATTTTGTTCAAAATTTGTACATTCAAATTGCACTCTTATTGTATCTACAATACAAAATAAAATCTGAATTGGAGAAGATTGTTACATTTGTGTTTTTCTAGGATTCTCAAAAATGAACTAAGCTGGTCCACAGGGCAGTGTGGACTGATTTCTACACAGCAACTCAACTGTTGGCATGATTTTATAAAATCAACTATAAAAGAGTTCTCTCCTGTTTCCCCAAACACTTGCTTAACAAAGATATCATCTCATGAGCTACTTCCTGTATCACACAGCCTACCTGTGGCAACAACAGTTGCTAACACAGGCATGTAGCATTTGGAAATTAATGCAACTAGTCGCCTTTTCATCTTCTCCACCCAGCTGTTCCATCCATTTTGGCTCTTTTGTATGTACTTTCCTGGGCACTTGCCCAGTTTCTCTTCTTCACCAGACATTTCTATAGGTTACAGATTAGTGAGGTGCTCTCTGTTCTTCTCTGCAGGAGGACCTGAAAGCCTGTAGAAGCCAATGAGGTACCAAAACCATGTGAACTATCAGCTATCCCTTGCAAATTAGTTTAGAAATAGCTGATTTCTATGGAGATATACTGGGATTTTCTTACAGTTTCCTCTTGCCTCTAGAAAAGTACTGAACTTTGAGAAATTTTTGCTTATCATTTACAAGGCACCTCTGTGAATATGGACTAAATGACGCAGACCCAGTCTTTTATTCAGTACTGTCCAGACCCAAAGTAGTTTCCCTCCATTACTGTCTCACACTATCTCCAATTTGATAAACATGTATCTTATCAAGAGGTGCAGCTGTCCAAATAATTTGTATTAGGAAGACTAATAAGACTGAGGAAATACGTAAGAAAACGAAAATACATGAAAAGCAGTTCTGCATCTTTAAAACTAAATTCCTTTTAATGTGGTACAGGAGGTAGACTGGCAGCTATTCCACTGCTTTAATCTGTCGTAAAAGTCAAACAGAAACATCATCTCTTAATAGTTTGAATTTAGCTCTGACACTTACCACCACCTTCTCCCTCATAGTTCTTAGGGCTTGGACACACAAAATGTTTACACTACTGTAACTGGCCTTTCCAGTGCCATGGAAAAAAGAGGAGCTATGTAACATGGCATCTTATGCAAGTTCAGTGTAGACTAGGAAAAATCAGGGATAAATCCACAGTGTTTTGTGTGTGTGTGTTGGTCTGCAGCCTAACCCAGGGTAGCAGTTTCTTCAAGGCAAAAAGGCTATTACTTGCTTACCCTACTATCAACAGATGCTGAAACAGCAACATACTATGCAGAGATGCAAGTTATGCTGGGTGTAACCAAGTTGTACATCCAAGCCCCCAGGTATATCTGCAGAACCACTAATCAAAAATGAAGCTTTGGAATTTTCCAGGCTACTTCAACTTCCTAAAATTAATGCAGGGACAACAAACTCAGGAGATCCTGCATAAATACTTTAAGACAGCTTTAATATCATGGAATTCAAACAAAGAGCATTGTCTTTGTTTCTGCAATGAAATGGTAACATTTTGCTAGCTACTTCCATTTTTCAACCACAGAAACTCCAAGGAAGCAAAGGCTCTGAGAGTTAAAAGAACCATGCTGGGCCATAATGTGGAAGATGATGCTGGTCACTATTGAGGCAGCTTGGTCTAGCACAAAGACTCATCTCCACATAAACTGGTCTCTGCACACACATGCTGACATGCATTATACCTCAATTGTGCAACAAGAGAAGAGTGGCCAGATTGCACCCTGCAAAGAAGACAAGTGAGAAATCCAGAGAGAGAGATCTGTCTGCTGATTTCAGCTCCGAAGTACTTTTAAGAAACGTTTTGTAATTTAGAACTTTCATTTAGTCGTTTCAAATGCAATTAATCAGGAAAATAAAGGTAAGTCGTGTCACACAGGCAGGGAAGATTCTTCTGGCTCTGGCCAAATTATACTATCCACAGATCCAGTGTCTGCAAATTAAACCTCAGACGCAGCACTTTTTAAATGGAAAAATACTTATTTATAATACTTTCAATGACTGTATTACAGTGAAACCACATTACCTCTTAATTGCAAATCTTTAACTTGTATCACTTCAAGGAAAAACACCCACATCAAACCATGAATCCAAATGCAAGGAATATAAACAACTGAGGCAGTAAAGTATTAAAAGTAAATTAGTTCACAATTGAGTTTCTTACCTTTGACTTAATCAAAACTTGATCCAAATGGAGTAAAAAAGCTCTATCAGAAACACAATGCACAGTTACAGTGAACTATAAAACTATTTTTCTAACACAAAAAATCTCTCGAATTTTCATTTAAAATAATGAAAATGCTCAGGTTTTAAATTTTAAAAATGACAGCAGCCCATACAATAAAAAACAGGTATTGTAAAAACACAGCTGAATATTATAAATATTCATACACTTCCACTGGAAAGAATTACACTGACTTATCTTCACAACCAAAGATTTCTTTTGACAGTGCTCCAAAGGCATTCCCCTGAGACGAGTATCACATCTGTTATCAAACGGTCAGACATTCAAGTTCTTCTAGTTCTCTCTTTACCTTCACTGGGAAAGACTGTGGACATCTCACCTCAAAGATCAGCGACTCCAGAAAGTTAAGTGTGTTGTGGATCTTTTCTGGGCACTGGATGTCAAACACATGGAACGCAGCCAACAGAGCAGCCAGTGCCATTGTACAATCATCAAGCTGAGCCAGTTTCTCTTTTTCTACATACAAAGCAAACTCACACGTATTAACATTGAAGGGGTTTTTCACTTTCAACACTGGTGTCGAGACCTTCACCTGCAATAAAACAAAAAGCTGTAATTCATGAGTATTGCCAGTTACATTCATGTTCAAGAGGTGCTTTGAAATTGGTTAATAATTCTATGGGTGTTTGAGACCTTTTGCATCAAAAGACACTAAGTAACATAGGCCAGGGTTTTACAATGAAGATAGTGAGCTGCAAAAAGGCTAAGGGGAAGATTCTAAGGAGTTATGCACCTAAAATCAAACTTAGGCAGACTGAATCCAAATTCATGATTTTAAAAAACCCTCACTTGGCAATTATGGAGGTGTCTAAATTTACTGGACAGCTCCCTGTTTGCCTAGAAAGTCCCCCAGGCCGCTACAATTTCCCTTCTGTGCTTGCCCAGAACTGGTCCAGCTGAAAAGACTCCTGGCTCTTACTGAAGCCCCACTGAGATAGAAAAACAAGGCAGAGCAGACACACTTGCCCAGGATGAAGTTGGAGATTCATCAACTTTCTTGCCTGAAGTTGGGCCATAGCATAAAAAAGAAGACAAGACTTGGGAGCTACAGGAAAATAAGCAAGAGGGTGTTTCACTGCAGTTGGGTGCTGAGATAATGCAGCTGGGAGGGGTGAGGTCCTGGCTTCAAAGTTATTGCTGGGGGGGAGGTCTTATCCAGTGAATTAATGTTAACTGTATAAATAGTGTTGGGAGCAGAGACGAGCCCAGGGCTCTTCTTCCCAGCTGTGTCCCAACCACTAAGGATACATCAAAACCACTAGGATACTCGCGCTCACTCTGACCCACTCCCATGGCACTTTCTACTGGGGCCTAGGCTGCAGCTGGAGGCATACAGGATGTGTCCATGAAGTGTTCTAGGTTGAGCCCAGGTGTCTCACTTCACTGGACTAGTTTAATAAGCTAGAAGACTCTCCCATAGTGTCAACCTTTTTAGACTCCAAGTCTCCTCCACAACTTCACTGAATTGAGTGACACCCTATTTCAAAAACTAAGTTATTATTACAGTGTTTACCTCTTTGTACATGGGTTAGGGAAGTAGACGGGGGGTGGGGGGAGCAAGCCAGGGGCAAGAGAGCATGTCCTCACTCTCTCTACAGCAGCTAAGCAGTGTAGGGAAGGTGGCAGGAAGGAGGAAGAGAAGGAGGAGCAGCTGGGCAGGGAAAAGCCTTTGCTTCCTTCCTCACAGAGGGGCTAGGCAGTGGGAGCCAGGGGAGGGAACAGAGAGGAAGGAAGAGCAGCTAGACAGGAACAAGACTGCTCTTACTTCCCTGCACAGGGATTGGGCCATAGGGGAATACCTGGACAAGGATGAGTTTGCGGTTATCCCTGTACACCTAGGAGCACCTTTCAAAATATTTCACAGCACCCTGGTCCCATCAAGATTCACTGGACTTGCTATTCAATATTCCATTTCCTTCTGCCAGCTGTGTTTTAAAAAGAAAACTGATCTCTACTTGATACCTTCAAAGATTGCTTGTAGATGCCTACACTCAGGAGAGGTTTGGACTCTGAATCCTGGGATTCAGGCTCCTAAGCACCTGAGTGGTGTGGGATTTCAGTTCAGCATTTCCTGTTTGCCAGCTTTAGGCAACTCCCCACTCAGTGTGAGGCTTTTTTGGGTCACCCCTTTCCTCGTGCACTGCATATGCAGCGTAAGCACCAAACTGTGGGTTCTGGATTCCAGTCTTTGAGTGCAGTACCTGAAAGTCTTTACTTAATCAAGGCTTAAATGACTGACTCTTAAGCAATTAGTGACAGAAAGACAACCAGAACTATAGACTAGGTTCTCTAATCTTAGTACAACATCACATTTTTCCTTTAAATGTCACTTGATGTGTGATGTCATTAGATATCATACAAGAGACCTACAAAAAAAGTCCTAATCACTGCAGTTGTCCCCCACTATGTGACACAGGAGAGAGGGTAGGGAAGGGAAGGGAAATTTAATTTAGGTGGCGGAGAAGGTGGGAAAATGCAGTAGATTTTGTCTGTTTAGAAATGTAACTAGCCTTCACAGCCACATTTAAATACCTCCTTGTTCACAGCAACAAACAGACTGGTGTCATCTCCAAAGGCGTCTGGCAGCAGTAAACAAGTGGCCGTCATTTTCATATCTGTCAAAGCAAAGGTTTTTACTGAACTACAAATGAAAGCTTTTCGATACCTTTGTGGAAAAGCAGACTGATTTATGAAGTAAGAGCTGTAGGTTATAAAGGTGGTGGTTAAACTCCTCACTGTATCCATGTTCTTGGTTACAAAGTAATTTGAAAAGTAAACTGCAACACTTGTATTGATTTAAATGTCTCCAGTGTCTGTCCTCAGCTGTACCACCAACATACCACTTTCAAAAAGGCATAGAATTTCATAAATCCACAACTAATGATACTCAAAAAAAAGTATAGTATAGCGTTCCAGATCAGAGAATTATCTGCTAATTTTTAATCGTGCTAAAATTAGACTACGAATGCAAATCCCCTATAGAAGGCAATGAAGGAGAAGACCTAATGGAGTAATCTAGGCCATCTTGCTGCCATGACTGGATTATTCTGCATAGGGCATTTAAAAGAAAAAAAAGGTACGCCTCACTCAAATTGTCTGCTGGAGTGTGGTGTCCCAACAGCTCAGGCATCTTTCAGAGGCATCAATTGAAACCCTGCTCTGGGCCCATGTCAGATGCTGCACCTAGTCAACTCAGTCTCCCCATTCAGACTGGAGAGTTACAAGCAGGCAGATACAATGCGATCCACAATAATGGGCTACAAAAACTGGTGTGTAGTCACCCAAGTACTTCAGTGGGCTCAGCTAGATCTCTGACTTTTGCTTTTTCATTTGAATAAATGTTCCAAACAATACACTTTTTCCTCCTAATTTTCAGAGTTATTATAAGCGTTACAAGTATTGTAACATACTCCATCCATAGTTTTGATACAAAAAGTGAAGTGGTCCTTCAGCCTCACTTGAATTCTTCCCTGGTGGTTGTTGGACCTGATCTAGGTTGGGAAAATTAGCATAAATCCAATTTATCAGAATTTTAAACAGTTTGTCATTGTATAGACAGATCAGTGGTTCTATCAACTGAGGCACTCATCAGTAAATGCCAGCTCTTAGTTTTCTGCAGGCCAAAAAAGAGTGAAAAACTAATAGAGCAGTTTCTCTCTTGTAAAGGACTCAGAAAGCCCATGACTGTGGATTTCTATTTGAAATTTCAGGGCTTATCTTGTGAGGCATATCTGTAAATCTAATGGTGCTAACATTGCGGCACCCTTGAAAGTACCTAAAGGCACCCCAGGGTGCTGTGGTACCCTGGTTGAGAATCACTAGCATAGACCAAGCTTTAGGTGGCCTGTACAGCCTTTACTGAACCTCTTCTAAACCAGTTACCCCTTAAGAATACTGTATAACCCATCTCCCAGTTTTACCAAGACCTCACCATTTAAGGAGTAGACATTGAGAGCTTTGGTATGTCATTTAAATAAAACACTTTTGAAAATTCCCTATACCTTGCCTCAAGGTCAACATGGGAGTATACCTCTAACACAGTGTTTCCCAACTTTTTCCAGCCCAAGGCACACTTACATTAACAAAATTTTTCCACAGCACACCTGTTAAGGCATTCCCCATCCTCATACTCCCCATCCTCAATTGTAGCTCATTGCCGTGGCAAAATTCCACCACACACCTGTTCATTTCTGATGGCGCAGCATTGTGCCATGACACATGGGTAAGGAATCAGTGCTCTAGCACAAGGCTAGATTAGGCTGTAAATTCAAATACCTTACTGACCTGATGTTCCTGAATGCTCTTTCTATGATGTTTAAAACAAACTTACCAAGTACATCATGGAGCCAGTGTTTATAATGTGGTTGCACTTCCTCAGGCTAGCTCTGCCAGCCAGATTTATAAAACTGCTGTTGGGAATATCATACAGCGCATTACACTCTTGATATGGCATCCCAGGAGAGCATTCTCCTGCATTTCAGGAGAGCAGCCTTAGTTTGAGGAGGACTTTTCAGCCGTCTCCCACGGTTGTACTTCTAACTTATATCTAAGTAGGGATTTGCTAATGCAATTCTGGAAGAAAACATATTCCTAGTAATGAGCTCAACTGCATTGCCTTTGCAGATCCTCACTTCCCATGCTTCTGGCCACACTACTATTCTAGATTACATTTCTTCCCCAAAAACGAATGCAATGGGGATGTGTAATCCCTTTTATGCCCACAGAGACAAATATGCATGTACCAGGATCCTGCGGCCTGGCTACACTGCTCGCCACTTTTCAAATGGTTCCATCACAGGGAACCATGAGCATTCAAAAATATCCCTGAGCATTCAAAATGAATACTCCTGAGCATTCAAAAATATCATACGGTATTCGACAATATCACACTCTATCAGAGTCAGAGTTATTAGCCCTGTTATTAGCCAGTAATTTTCTTTCCATTATTTCATCAGGAACAAACCTCAGTCGTAAAAACAATAATATCTTAGATCATGTCTCTTTCATTTTTAGAAAAGAGGTTCTGCTATTTGGTTTTGTCCAACAGATGCCCCCCTCTCTGTCCATGATTCCTCTACGATACAATAAGGCAGTTTTGTATATTTGGAAATATTTCATTTCTTTCTTATTAGCCAAACAAGTTATAATAGTTATTTTACCCATTAACATTTTTCTTTCCTTATTAGAAAAACATGAGTTCGGTATCTTACTCATTTTATTAATATTTTCCCCTCTTCATTTATTAATAGGGTTTTTTTGTTTGATATTTCTCTATCTTGTGTGTGTTTTCAAGAAGGCACCAGACAGTTTTAAAACAATGTTTCTACATTATCCATAAGAGCTACTCTAATTACTATAACACAATTATCTGCTACAATGCTCAAATACAGAGCCAGTTTATACTAACATTTCAGAATGTCTTCCTCCATGTGCTGTTTCAGATTTTCTTGCAGCATGACATTAATTGGATTATTCCTCACCGAGTACAGAGACAATATGTTTTCAGAATACATCTCCAAAATCTCAACTGTTTTTTTATAAATATCCATGTGTGTCAGGAGGTGGAACTCCCTAAAAAGCTAAAAGGAAGAGAGAAAAAGTCTATTTTATCGAAGTATTCATAACAAGATGAAACAAAACTGAGGCTCAAACATTGACGACTGGGATAATAAATCAGGATTATACACTGACAATGTTTTTTCGGGTTTTTTTTAAATAGTAAGTATTTCAGGCTTCACCAGAACACATATAGTATCCAGTATATTATAGTGTATAGCAAGCTTAACATGTAATGGGCAAATGTTTAAAAATGATGCAGCAATATGAATTTACCATGGCATTAGTGGAATAGATTGAGTAATGATGGATGCGTTCCTGGCAACGAACAACTGATCTGGTGACATGCTGCTTGTTTATATTTCATGATCAAATGCAACATTGCTATTCAGAGACCTATAATACTACCTGATAAGGACACCTTAGAAAAGGAAACAGGCACAGAATTTCTTTCAAAGGTGCCTTATTATTAATCATCTTTCTTCGTATTCCTAATGTCATATTCATCCTATTATCAACTTCTTCCCAGTTCCTCTCTGTTTTCACATATTCTTGCTTAAACCAGTTAATGTGTTCATTCATCTCACTTCCTTCAAAACAGGTAGGCTCCTCCTGTGAGATATAAAAAGACAGATTTTTTTTTCTACGAATTTAAATAGACCAGATGTAGCTTTGTCTGATGCAGGATGTAAAACATGTACAGAGGCAGATCCAGAGGGGGTGCAGTGGCATGACTGCACGACCCTGTTGGATTGGAGCATACCATGGGACCCTCTGGGAACTTTTTTAATTCTCTAAAGCAGGTGAAAATCCTCCCTCTTTTTCCCTTCCTGCTCAAAGGCATGCCCCATCCTCACTCCTCTCCCTCCCTACTCCACTGCCTTTCTTTCTCCAGTATCCCGGGGGTGGGGAAGCACCAAAGCCATTTTTGTCCCTGCAAGGAGGCTGGGATCAGCTGGGGATGGACACAGCAGCAGCACCTGCACTGAGACAGCACAGGGTGGGGAAAACTGCTCTTAAGTCACCCTGTTGCTGCTGTCCCCTCCCCAGCTGAGCCCAGCAGGGTCTGCAGCTTCTCCGCCCCCAAGCAGGGGAGAAAACAGGCAGAGGAATGGCGTTGGTGGAGGGACCTTCCTTGGAGCAAAAAGGGAAAGAGAGAGGGGTTTTCATGTGCTTTAGGAACTTAAATTTCTTGGAGGCTCCCGTGGTTTAGTCTGCACTGGTAGGTGTGGAGGAAGCTGGCAGCAGGGGTGCAATCACCCTAACAGTGTGAGTTGCTGCTCATGCACCTCCCTTTGGAAATCCTGGATCCACTCCTGAACATGTACGATATATAAAAATAGTATGGTTTTTCATGTTTATTGTGCTTCAGTCTTCGGATTAAGTATGTAACATTTATAAAGTATAAATTAAGACAAAATGTCTTGGCCCCAGCACTGCAAACTTAGATTCTGAGAGGCAGACTAGATTCTCTTTCCCTACAGATTACCATTCTTAGTAAATTTTCTCCATCTAAAATTATCTTCTTATTGATCTTTGTGCAAGCCCACTAATTTTCCTCGGGTTGCACAGACGCAGCCTATTAGAAATATGTGAACGATGTTATTAATGATGTACTCTTACACCCTTCTGAATGTTGATTCTTTAACACTAAGTAAAGGATTTTAGTAAATAGATAAGACCAAGAATATATGGAACAGATGGGACCATTGTCCCAGCTCCTACACAAGTAGGAATATGGAACTAGAAGGGGCCACCTCAGCTATTCAGTCTAGTCCCATCCACTGGTGTTCTCAGGTAGTCATTTGTCAGATAGTAGTTTTCATTTGAATAATCCCATTGATATCAGTAGGATGACTCACACAATTAAATGTTTGCTGGACCAGTCCCAGTATGATTAATTAAATGAAGTTGTCATTTGTGTACATCTTCTCTCCAGAGGACCAGGACACTGACATTTTTCATTAACTTCTCAGTGTCTATATTACAGCTTTAAATCAGAAAGGAAGAGGGAAACCACCATTCTTATAGCAACCACGAGTTAAGTAATTTAATTGTTGATTTCTGCGGCATTATTTATTTTGAAGGTGTGGGCATTAACTAACAATTTTCCTTTAAAAAAATCATTACAGTCCCTGCCAAGATTATAAAGCCTGTAATTACAAGGCAAAGATGCCATCAGAATAAATATATGTAACAAATCTGGAATTACTTAGTTTTTGTTAGAGGAAACCAGTGATTTTGCCTGTCAAAATGACCCTGGGATGCATATATGGAAAAAGAAGTACTGGTCAGATAATTCACTGTAGGGCTGCACTTACACTAGTACCCCACCGGTACAGCTCTGATGGTAGGAGCACAATGGTGAGGATATTTGTTTAGGAAGGGCATGGCTTAGGCTGGATTAGGCTGTAAATTCAAATATCTTACTGACCTGATGTTCCTGACTGCTTCTTCTATGATGTTTAAAACAAACTGACCAAGTATGTCATGGAGCCAGTGTTTATAACGTGGTTGCACTTCTTCAGGCTAGCTCTACCAGCCACTGGAGATTTTCAGGAAGTGACTCAATAGGCATCTGCATGGGATGGTTTAGTAACAGCAACTCTTATACAGAGATGATAGCCCTTGAAGGCCCTTCCAACACTATGATTAGAAGTATCTGAAATGCTTTTAGAGCGTTTTCTTAACAAACACACTCCAGTTGAAGGGGACAGTTTTTGTCAGCATACGTATATACATTGGGGCATGTTAAGTGCATTCAGTACCAGCTTGTGCAACAAGATGCAGCCGTAGTGCAAGGACATGTGACAAAATTACACCCTCCTAGTCAGACATGCACATGCATGATGCACAGAGTAGGACTTTTTAAAACAGCAATGATTTTTACTTAAAATTAAGAACCACAAGTAACTATGCAAATGTCATCTCCAACATCAAGTAGCATTGGTGTTGTCTATGGTTCTTCTGGGTCCATTTCCAGTCTCCCTGCCAATGGACTACCAGTTTGTTCAGCCACCTGATCTATGCTGCAATTGCTTGTTTCTGGAGAAGGAAACACCCTCAATAACCCACTCACAAGAGATTCAGTCTGGCATGGCAGGACTACAGCAAGTGGACCCTGTTCTTAGAAACAAAAGAGTAAGATTAGACCTTTACTTTATTTTATCACCACCCACACCTATCAAGGCAAACACAGATAAACTGATGACTGTGGATCCTTCTTGCAATTCTGCTGTGCAGTCCTGAGCCACTTCCTTTACTGACTTCAGTTAGCTGAACTACACTTACAAATATTCATAACAAACAGCAGCAGAAATAACACACTGCA